AATCGCATCACGACGTTTTCGTTCTACAGCGATTTCGCTGGAACGAATTAACGTTGTGATGCGAGGCACCACTTGTATTTCATAATTGTTTTGCAGTGACTTATATATATTGCAGTGTCAGTCTTATATATATTGCAGACTGTTGCTGAGGGACTCAGTTCAACCCATTCTCCTGCAGAGTCTCTGGGGTTTTTGTCTTGTCTGTGTGATATTTGAATATACATAAAACCAAATGCAAGAGGTCCTGTAGGGCAGTGGTCCCCAACCTTGGGCCTCTTGGACTTCAACTCCCAGAAATCCTGGCCAGCAGAGGTGGTGGTGAAGGCTTCTGGGAGTTGTAGACCAAGAACATCTGGAGGCCCAAGGTTGGGGACCACTGCTGTAGGGGGAGTTTACAGTTGGCTGTCATCAATATGATAATACTGATTGATTTACTGATTATTTATATTCCACGTTTCTCCTGAAGAGGACCTTGAGTGATTTACTTTATTAAAACAAACAATATTTTAAAACAACAACAATAATAAATAATTACAATACAGTATTTAAAAAGAATTGGAGAGATAGCAAATTAGAAATTAGTGGATAAGAACAGTTTAAAACTGTTCAAAATATATTTTAAAGAATTATTTTAAGAACCCTTTCTCAGGTGGCCAGTTACTTTGCCTGCTTGGAGGAAGACTATGGGTGGGAGTTCCAGAGCTTGGGAGCAGGGATAGAGAAGGCCCCCTTGCATATCCTTACAAAATGTACCTGTGGCAGTGGTGAGCCCAAGAGAAAGGCGTCCCTTGATAATTTCAAAGCCTGGGCATATATCTAGTTCATTTTCTTTGTTCTTCCAGTGTTGAAGAGACTAATGACTGCTGCACTGTATGAGCATTTTCCACATGTTCTTATGTTTTTGCTTTATACATGTGTGCTACTTATTGTTACACAACAGACTTTTGATTTGGAAAGAGCAAGACATCTTTCCATACATGTGAATAAAGAAGTATCCAGTGAACTATGCATATGAAGTTGCCTGTTGTGTTATTTTTAAGGCTGCAGTGCAGTACCGGATTACACTTCTGTTCTCCGATCCCATCAAGAATCCTTTATTCCATGCCAGCCCTACTAACTGCTCTGACTGCACCTTGTTTCTAAAATCAAGTTTAGAGGGAAGAAAACTGAAAAATAGGTGCTTTTTAGCTAGGTTTTCTCCTGCTTATGTTGTCTTGTGACTTCGAGAAACTTGAACTCTTGGGCATTTTTCAAAAAACATTCTTCAAAACCAGTTTGCCTGTAATCTAATTCTTATAATTTCATATTCACCTTCTCAACTCATCTAAATGCTTAGTTTACGGCATGGACCCACTGACAATAAAAAAAGAGCCTCGTGGCGCAGTGGTTAAAACGCTGTACTGCAGCTAAAACTGTGCTCACGAATCAAGTTTAGAGGGAAGAAACCTGAAAAATAGGTGCTTTTTAGCTAGGTTTTCTCCTGCTTATGTTGTCTTGTGACTTCGAGAAACTTGAACTCTTGGGCATTTTTCAAAAAACATTCTTCAAAACCAGTTTGCCTGTAATCTAATTCTTATAATTTCATATTCACCTTCTCAACTCATCTAAATGCTTCGTTTACGGCATGGACCAACTGACAATAAGAACCCCCATTAAATCAATTTTAGCATTATTTTAAATGATTTATAAATTCTGGGGCACACAGGTGAAATCAATTTATTTGGGCTGGAAAGGAGAATAAATAAATAAATAAATAAAAAACCCCATTAAATCAATTTTAGCATTATTTAAAATGATTTATAAATTCTGGGGCAAACAGGTGAAATCCATTTATTTGGGCTGGAGTTTTTTTTCCCCAACTGGCTGGTGGGGGCTTTTAAAATACCTAACTTAGTTTAAATCAATTCAGTTTGGTGGTTGTGAACACTTCTGTTGATTTACTTGCCTATGTTGAATTTGAGCAGCATTGGCATCATGGTTTTTTCACTATAGTTTAAAAAAAATTCTTATAAAGATGTTTAGTGATGCATCACTTAGTGCACTGTGGCCGCGAATGAGTTTCTTTGTATTGTCAAGAATACATTGCTTTATACTTCATTGATACATTCAATATTAGAAACACCTTCCCTGTTCGCTCCATTCTGTCTGTGAAACCATATCTTTCCATCAGTCAGCAACTCAGGTCACCTCTGATGTTTCCTCTGTGCTTGCAGGTACAGTATATGATATCAGGTGGTGCTGTTGTTTTAGCCATGTATCACTTACTTTAAAAAAAATGAAAGCCAAAATTTTAGTCAGATGGGGCAATCAACTCAATTTTTGCCTTCATCAAACAGAACGGAAATTGAGTCAATTCCAGTGTAGCTTCCCAAACAAGTTTTAATTGTCAGAAATACACTGAAGTAATTTAAACCAAATTGAACATGCATAACAGTTGATATACTATGTGACTTCACATCAATATAAAAAAGGTTGAGAGTAGAATTGATGTAAATTGGCAGTGTGATCAAGCCCTTACTCAGTATACTAAATCTAGTTGCAATCCTGTGTACAGTTACCAGGAAATAAATCTTGCGGAGTATCACTCTAGTTTTCTTTCATTGACATTGGCTTCCAGTTTGTTTCTGAGTGCTATTTAAAATCTATATCCTGGCAAAGGTTCCAAGGAATGGGCTGCTACAAGTCATACAAAGCGGTGGTCAAAACTGCATCAGTTTCTTATATGGACGGGTAAAGTCTGTAATGTGCTAAGCTCTGTGATGCTGTTGTAAACTCCAGTCATTTATTATACTGTATATTAATTTTAGATGATGAGAAGAAGTTTTGCAGAGATGCATCTACTGTTTGGATTGGCTCTGTTATGGGATGGGTTTTTCCCCCTTGTCTCAATACAGACAATATTTTGCATTCATCAGTTGCTCATGTCTGAATCATCCAAAATTATACCTGACTCATCCATTGATATCAGTTAGTTATAGGGTTGGGACACAGTCCATTTAAAATTTTCGCCTGTTCAAAACCTATGATTGAAATGTTGGTTGTGACATGTTAGCTCTGCTTAAAAGACATGGGAGTTGTGCAGGAACCTTATTGTGCTGCTGGGTTGATTTCACTCACTAAAGCTCATTCAGGAGAACTTTCCTTGAGGGACTGCACCCTAGAATACTTTCAACAGGATTATTGCTAATTTTGCAGTGGTTTGGGAGAGGGTGTCTTAAGACATATTCTTTCCAACTGTAGCATTTTCCCTCTGCCCACATCTGAATCAGTTTTTTGAAGACAAGCAAATGTACTGTAGCTCATCATTAAAAATGAACAATGATTTTATAAGAAGAGATACAAGTACAGTAATGGGGTTTAGCACATTTTATTTTACGAACAAAATTTTAAGCAATGGCAGAGGTTCTTCAGCATAAATTCCGTCATTGTGAGACTGGCATCCCAGTTTCTCATTGGTTGACAGATGTAATTATGGTTTGATTTGCTAAAATTTCTAAAATCAAACCTCTGATATCACAGGATTAACAGCAGTGAAATAATTTTGCTGTCCCTCTTCAAATTTTCAGATGCTGCATTTTTAAATTTTAAAAAGTATCTAAGAAAGTGTTTTATTTATATAGTTATATATAAATTTTAAAAACTGGATAATTTTTCCGTAGTATATAAGAGCTGCTTTTCTGGAATGCAATTGTGGAATGTTACTATGAAGTAAATTTTTGAAGCTCTGTGTTTTTCTTTTATCCTCCACCCACAGTGATTTTAATGATACAGTTTATTTTATTTTATTTAGTGTCATTTGAATGCTGACTTTCTCCCATAAGCAGACTCAAGGCAGCTCACAATGTTAACACAAGTAAAATTGAAAATACAATAAATTATGCAACTAATTTTATTTATTTATTTATTTGATTTTTACCCCGCCCCTCTAGACTACGTCTATTAAAGCAATTAAACTCTAATAATAATTGAAATACATTAAGAAATTTAAAACTTTAAAAACTTTTAAAACCAACTAAAAACATGGTTATTCAGATAGGCCTTCCCCCCAGTCACCTAAGTTCTTTTTCTGTAAGCCGCCCCGAGTAGACGTTGTCTAGAGGGGCGGGGTAAAAATTGAATGAATGAATGAATGAATGAATGAATGAATGAATGAATGAATGAATAAATAAATAAATAAATAAATAAATAAATAAATAAGAAATGTACTCAGCTAAAAATCAGCATGCAGGCCTCAGTTATTATAAGCCTATCAGAAAAAATGTGTCTTTAGTATCAGCGTTCGGGGGGCGCAGCCTAAAACAGTCGTGCCCCGCTTAATGATTGCCCCACAATATGACGAATCCACTTTACGACGATATTTTTGTGATCACAATTGCAATTGCAAAACAATGGTCTAAATGGGGGAATTTCACTTAGCAATGATCAGTTCCCTGCTTCGGGAACCGATTTTCGCTTTACGACGATCAAAACCAGCTGATCATTGGGTTTTCAAAATGGCCACTGGGAGCTTAAAATGGCTCCCCACTGTACTTAGGGATGGATTCCTCGCTATACAGGCACAGAAAATGGCCACCGTATGGAGGATCTTCACTAGATGGTGAGTTTTTAGCCCATTGGGACGCATTGAACGGTTTTCAATGCGTTTCAATGGGTTTTTTTAATTTTGCTTTACGACGTTTTTGCTTAACAGCGATTTTCCTGGAAATAATTATCGTCGTTAAGCGAGGCACCACTGTATCCCGAGGGAGAGCATTCCACAATTTGGGAGCTGCCGCAGAGATGGCTCTCTCTTGTATCCCCATCAAGCATATCTGTGATGGTGATGTGACCACAAGGAGAGCCTGCTCTGAGAGTTTTAAGAGTGGAGAAGGCTCATATGGGAAGATACAGTCCTTCAAGTATCCTGAACCCAAGCCATATAGGGCTTTATAGATAATGACCAGCACTTTGAATTAGATATGGATACTGTGCAGTAACCGTTACCTTGATAATCATTTCAGCTGTCAAGATGGCAGATGAGAGTGCATACCTCGTGGAAATGGGAGACCCTCAGGTGAGTATTTGCTTAGAATGACAGCAATGTAGGTAAAGCAAACAGTGTATGCAGAACATCATGCAAAATTGTCCTGTGTGCTTTAAAAAGTTAAGAATGATAGGACAGTGCTTAGTTTTCAAAGGAAATGGCTCAAAATATACCATTATTTAGCTAGACAATATGAAGAATGAAACCATGGTGGGATTGCATCCTGCAGTAATGTATGGCTGGGACCTCTTATTTAATGGGAGAGTACAATCTGCTATTGCTATTTAGTTCTGATTTGTTTTTCTGTTGCTGTCAAGATGTCATTGAATGAAATTTTTTGTTAGATGAAAACCAGCAACTATTGCTCAAATAATTTTATGTATTTGTTTCAATTAAAAATGCTCTACCTCAGTGTCTGTTTCATAAATATCTGCAGTTCTGAGTGAGAAAGTGCTAGAAGCAGATGGGGGAGATTAGATTTTGAACACAAATAATTATAGCATACATAGTTCAATCCATATTTTTGAGAAACTGCGAAGTAAGCTTTTAGCAACACAGACCTATAAAACGTTTGATGGGTATTGCTTTTTTTAAGTTACTGTATCCTGTGTGAGTCATACCAGTGGTTGAGATGTTGCTTCGTTTGTTCATTAATGAGTAGGAGTTGCAAATTTTTGGCACTCTCTGATCTTCTTGTATTACATTGTGGTCAAATAAGTGAAAGGTAAATTTTCCAAATGCGTAGTATCCACCCACAATAATCTGTGAAGCATAACCATCTTTGTGTTGATTTCTTTTTCTTTTTTTACATCCTGACCTGGGTTGACTGCCATTTCTCTAAACATTACCTTCCTTCATCTTTAGGGACTTACTGAAAATTACTTGACAATATGTGCAAATCATCATATGGTTAAATGTGTTCACATACATGTATGTGCACATCCACTCACACCCATCAGCACACAAACACAAACACCCATCAATATGCGTGAAATTTTATCGATTACAACATGACAGATCCTTGCCCAAAAATTTGAAACAAGAAATAACAAAGGAAGAAGGCAGAGAATGTGTGATTATGATATGATATGATTATGATAGCTGGTGAGATACAGTGGATTGAATGTCAGACTAGGAGTCAGATGGCTAGGTTCAATGGAACCTGCTCAGCAATGGAAACTCTCTTGGGGGTAGCTCTAGTAAACCATTCCCTGTATGTCTCACATACCTCAAACCCCCCATTAGAGTTCTCATAAGTCAGAAGCAACTTAATGGCACATAGCAGACACAAGTTTAGTTGCAGTAGGGCCTTGGAACTAGGGAGTTGTGACAAAAGTGCATGTAAAACACAGGGATCTGGGATCAGTTTGAAGAAAGACAACAAGTGGAAGAACTTTTCCAAGTACCAGCTATTACAGTTAGATACACAAGCGCAGACCAGATCTTGGACTTCATCTCCCATGATCCCTCACCATTGACTATGTTAGCTTGGACTCATGGGAAATGCAGTCCAAAATAACTAGAGGGCACAGTATCAGATGAGGATTATGTAAAATGACTCACAGTATGTGTTACTTCAATAGATTGGAACTGTAGGAGTTCCATAGTATTAATGCTTCTTCCATTCCCTTATAGATTGCAATTTGGGGGAAGTGAATTGAAGTTCATGAATACACACATACCAAAGTATAGGGCTTCTGCCTCTGAACGTAATCCCATACGTTATGTGATCTGTGGTTACTATTGTTAGCTATAGCAGAGCTCTCTTTCTCTACTGTGGTTGACAGTGGGAAATCCGTGTTGCTGATATTAGGCTGTCTTGTAGGTTGTAGCCACTGGACACGATAAAGAGAATGTTAGGTGCACATTTACTAGTAATTCGTTAAATTATGTATATTGATCATCTTGGTGAGCCAACTCTGGTACTGTGATTAACTGAATGAGAAATGTTAAAAAGCATAAATTGTGATCAAAAAGCACTACTTATGATATTAGTGGGTTAAGTCCAATGTTACACTTGCATACCAATTTATTTATTTAAATAATTTCTACCCTGCCTTTCTCCTTAAGAAGGACTCAAGGCAGCTTACATCATTCAAAGACAATATTTAAAGCTAAAAACAATAAGTATACAACTACAAAAATGATCAAACAGTAAAAGATGATAAACAGAAGCAACACCAAAACAAAAAGCAGTAAGGCCCAAGAATCCACAACTTCCACTAGTGCAATCAGACATTCTTCTTCTGTCCACCTGCTTTTGCAGAATATATTGTGCCCCAAATCTGCATGCTGCACCATTAAATTTGGAAAGAGGGTGGAGAGATGCAGAAGGGCAGGTCAAAGTTGCCCTTAATTATGCTGAATTGAACCAGTTTAATCAGTGGGAAAATGCCATTGGATCCTGGTCAACTGTTTTAAAGACAGCAGTAGTGTATTTAAATCATGTTAGGGTTTCATGTAACCTGGTTAACAAGTGCAAACATTTTCAATTCAGGTGTATGCAGTGGACCACTACTCTATGGGGATTAATCAGATGTTCAGTAGCTCAACCATGATTACTCCTGATTTACCATTCCGCACAGGTAAGAACCATTGTTGCTTAACTGAAGAGACTTATTTGTAGTGCTTTGAATAGTCTCTCACAGAGAGGCATCTGTTTGTCTAAAACACGAAGGAACAGATTGAGGGTTCACAAGACTGAGATTTTCATTATACTTCATATTCAATTTGATTTGTTCTGCTAATCTTGTGAGATGTTCATCATACTTCATATTACATTTGATTTGTTTTGCTATTTCTTAAGTAATAAAATTACATTTTAACTTTTTTTACAAGAAAAGCTGTATTTATTTTTTAAAAATAATTTTACTAAGCTTTTGTATTTAATTTTAAATTACGAATTTAAATTTTTGTTAAAAGCGGGTTGAATGACGGTAAACGAGACAGAGAGAGGCATTCTCAAAAATCAAAATTAGTATGATGCTGTCTAAAAACAAGGATTGATTACCATTAATCAACAAATAACAGTATTTTAAGAAGAAAAGGGTAAACCAATTTGAAAAGTCTGTTTTTTGTTTTACAAATCTTGCAGGTTAAAATACCTGAAACAGTTATCCTTTGATCTGATTAACTATACATCAGATTGAGGAGTATTTGTTATTTTATGTAGTAGTATATGAGTTTCCCTTTTTTCTAATCAATTTTCCCACTTGTGCCCTGTCTATTAGATAGTAAGCATGCAAGCATAGACAGTCTTGTTCTGTTATTGATCTTATTTAAACTGCATTTGGATCCTGTTTGCCTAAGGATTGGGATCGAAATATGATAGATAAAGAGAGCGAAAGTTTTCATAATTATTATTAGAGGTACTGTAGTTGGAATTATAAAAGTGTATAATAGGGTTTGTAGTTTGAATACATACCACTCTATGGATTCGTATTAGGGTTTTGTATAAAGCTGTGTATGCCAAAATTATAGCACAAGGCTTTTGTTCCATTTTGAATTGGAAAATGCCAACCAGCGTAGCATTTTTGACAGTCAAATGCTGTGCTGCCAAAGAACATGGCAATATAAAAGGGATTACTACTGTACAGTTAATTCTTCTTTCTATAGAGAGAGATATGTAAAGTTCGGGAAGTTTGGGGACTTTCTGACAATGAGCTTTTTCTTATTTACAACTTTTCAAAGGTGAAAGGTTTTTGGAGAGGTGTCCTTTTTTTTGCCAATGATATAGTTATATTAAATGACATTTTGTTCTCCCAGGTTAAACACAAATTGCTTGAAGATGAATTAGACCTGACAAGCAGACGGAAGGCCGGTCCAGAAAGATAAAATTGGGGCGGTCTGGTTTGGGCTTAAACAATTCTTCTTTTCAGCACCATCTAGCTTATTTTGCACTTTAGCAAACTCCATTCACATTGGAGATATTTATTCTCCCATGATAAGGGTTGAGACAGGCCTTTGGATAGCTGGTTTAGTCATCAGTACGGTTTACTTGGTTTACTCACAAGTAAGGTAGCAGCAGCAATATTTATTTATTTATTTATTTAATTTATATGCCGCCCACTCTACCCAGAGGTCTCTGGGCGGCTTACAATAATTAAAATTCAATACAATAAAATGATTAAAATACAATTAAAA